CTGAAGCTGATGAGATGAATCAAATTCTGATCAGGCTTGTAAGGTTTTTACTTTATTTTCCGCTTCTCACAAAATCTTTTATATGTTTTGATCTAGCTGAGTGAAATCTCTCCTCGACCTGATGATTTCGTCGCTTGTCTCGAAAACAGTGTTTCTGTTGATGAACTAGAGGCAGTGTACAAGTCGGTGCAGGATGAGAAATTGGTCTTGCGCGGAAAGGACTCTGGTGGTGAACAAGGTAGAGTTTTGAATACTCCTGGATCTTCTTGAATTTTATTCTGGGTGTCAGACTTTGCGAATCTAACGATTCGCTAGCGTCCGCGGTCGCGTCGCGGCCAGTGAATCGCTCAATTGGCTGGTACCGCAACGCGACCGCGGACGCTAGCGAATCGCTCGATTCGCAAAGTCTGACATCGGCCTTACCTCACAAAAAATGCCCTCCTTTTTTGAACGATTTCATAGCCGGTCATCCAATCGGAACGACTGCACAGCATTAGATACGTATCAACTGTCCGGTCCGATTGAACGTGGCGGGCGATCGAACGGCCGACTATGAAAGCGTCTTGTTACTCGAACGTTTACGTGTCCAAATGAACGAAGTGCAAAATCAGACCGTCTGCAATTCATTTCGCGGCTAATACATCCGTCTAACTTCGGTCAACTGCATTCTGACTTATTAGTGCCTTGATCTTGCTAGGTTCATGTCAGCGCTGCAGTGGTGTTTTTTGTTGTTCAAGCTTGCCAATTTGAGATCCAGTCAGCCAATCAGAGGTCATTTTCGCCACTAAATTCAATGAGTTGTCGTTATCGCAGTTTCTAATTGCTTCACATACTCACTTAATCACATTTTCAAAAATTTTCAATTTCCATGTCTGACTTGTGTAGGCTGTTGTGCTTTTCTTTTCTTCCATTTCTATTGTTGCAGGAGTATTCGTCAAGCAGCAACTTAGCAGTCTTGATTTCGTTGATGGTCTCATAAGAAAAAGGCTAGTTCTCCTAACCAATAACACCGTGGACAGTGGCGGTTTAGACGTGGTGAGAGTTTATCTGTAATTTTACAGAAACTTGTACTAGTAATGCTACCTAGGTGAGCTTTTTTGATTGACTTCATTTTCTTCATTGCTTTGCCATTTTTGCGGTGTTTCTTAGGTGCACTTTTCCATTATTTGCCTCACGTCATCACACTTTTTGAATAGAGTTCACTTTATGTTTCATACCGCTTTCTATTGTTTCCATTGGACCATTACTCCGCTGGGGTTTCCTTTTCTGGTGTGAAACTTGAAAATATGTTCCCTGCACTTTACTACTTCATTTAAGGCTCGTGTGATCTCAAATGACGACGGGTTAGTGCAGCTGCCTCTTCACGTCGTACTGACCAATGGAGTTGCTGTTTCCTACTTCATTGACTACCTTCAGACTGTCGGTGGACAGAACTATATAGACTTCTACTTGGCAATTGAAGTGCGTTATACATATTAGTTTGTGGTTGAAGCTTTTTTTTCGTTACGAATATAGAGTTGTGAAAAAGAGGAGGTTCCTTCATGAATATTTATCTGTATTTTTAGGGTTTCAAAGTGTCTGTGGAACACCAGCTGAGAACGCTTTCGAATGGTGAAACTGTTGGAGACGATGTCCACGAAACAATCAAAGAGGCGGCACAGTTCATGTATCAGCAGTACCTTTCTCAAGAGGTGTGCTTTTTTAGCGTGACCCACTTTTTTCATTCAATTTATGCTGTAATTGTTGCTTATAAAGGCAATTACACGGGTTCCACTGGATGAAAGCATAATTTCGAAATTTCTAACGCGAATAGAAAGCGATGAGCCCTGTGATTACTGGTTCGAGCAGATCCAAGAAAAGGTTGGTGGTCCTTGCTTTTCAGTTGTGGTGTTTTTTTTTTTCGTTTTCGATTCACTATTTTTCTGCGTAGTTTTACTGTTCAAAGTCTTTGTTTATTCATTCTCGCATTATTTCTACTGTTAACTCAGTATATTTAGCGCCGCTTGCAGTGTGAAAGTTCAGAGAAGGTTTTCAGGTTGTTGAAATATTGCGCACCGATGAGCATTTCTATCCCGGATTCAAGAAAAGTGCGTTATACCCGAAAATGCTCGCCGACTTAGGCATCACAGGTGACGAAGATAGGCCAGAAACACCGCAATGCTGAACTGGGATCCGCATATCGGTTTTTCGACCAAGACACAGCGTCCTTTATGTCAAAGCATGTAGGTCTTTCCAATGGCTTCTTCGTCCCTCAGCCCTATACATTTCCCAAAGTATCATTCATAAGCTTACGGGATTTTTTTGAAATGAATTTAGGATTCTATAAACTCTCGCCCTAATTTTTGTTTTTAGATAATTGAGGAAGGTATGATCAATGATGGGAAGCCGGTAACAACGGCTGTTGTGGAAACCTTGGGAATAGGACTGCAGGTGATTTTGTCGTTTTTTTTATAATTGTTGCTTTTCTGGAAACTTGCGGTTCTTTTTTGCTCTGATATGTAACGCTATTATTTACTGCTTTCCTTTTAAGGGCAGACAATCGTTTGCTCTCTACAATGTGCGAGTGAGTAGATCTGTAAATGGGAAGAAAGTGAGCAGTTGGAATGTTTTACGAAGATACAGTGATTTCCACACGTTACACGCCTTCATTGTTCAGAAGGTAAGCTCCTTTTCAGGGAGGGAAGGGGGGGGTACCAATTTGTTAAGAGGCAAGTATTTGACCAATTGATCATCCGATAAATTATCGTTTTTCTAGTACCCTAAGCTCGCTAATCTTTCGTTTCCTGGAAAGAAGACCTTTAATAATTTGGATGCCCATTTCTTGGAGAAGAGAACCAAGGTGTGGTTTATTTGTTGACGATTCTTTCATTCATTTATTAGGCGAGGTTATTATTCCCATGCAGGCAGTTATTGAATTTGTTCTTGGAATGCGTTCTGCAACCTGCAATGTTGGAAGCTTATCCAGAACTTGATGGTATTCTTTTTGATTTCCTCAGTCAAAAGGAATATCAAGGTAACCGAGAGCCGATCGCCAAGAAGGTAAGGATAGCCCGTTGTTCAAGTACGTGTATAGCCTGATCATGTAGTGCGGATCTTTCATAGGTCATGTCGGCGATGTTTGATCCTATCAGAATGAGTGTCAAAGCTGTTGGAAATACAGTGCTATCTGTCCCAGATCAGGTAAGACAATCGAATTCGTGCTCTCAAGCATCGGAAGAACCATGAAGGTTTTCAGGTTTACGGCGGAGTTTCGAAGGTCGGAGCTGGCATAAACAATGCAGCGAAGGTCATAATTGTGAGTAACTGATGCTCGTATAACCTATTTCCTCTTTCGAACTGTTTTTGTTCTTATTTATTTTTTAATTTTTAGGCAAAACCGTTGAATGGAGGTCCGAGAGCTCCTGTAATTGATACAGATCGTGTTGCTGCTGCCATAACTGACGATGTAAGTTTGATTTCATAGGAAGGATTCACTAATTGTTCCAACGCATAAACAAAAGGACCATTAAATTTTGGGGTTCTATGCGTACACGTGCTGTTTTTTTTTTTTTGAATGAACCAGTTTGTCATTATTTTGAGTCTGGAGTTGAATTTTGCCAAGGATATTTTAAGGAGTCAACATCGGATAACATCCCTCTGCGCGTCCTCGTCTTATTTGTCGATGAAGTTTTCGGTGTACGAGCTCGGAATGCGTGGTTCCGTCGTCAGATGGTAGGATGTCTTTAACTCTTTTTTTTTGACAGGAATACTCTTTATCCTTCATGATCTTGTTCTTGAGAATCGGACCTTTCTATGATTTTTTTTATTACCTGAAGCAGTATTCTAGTTTCATGGTTGGGGTCGCGGGCCAATGCATTAGATTTATTGCGGATATTGAGCACACTGATCCAGGCTTGGTATTGTAAATTCGCCCACTATACAGGCGACAACCCCAGAAGAGATCATGCCGAATATGTATTCTATGGGTAAGTCATAGCAGCGCTATCACAGTTGCGCTTTTGTCGCGGCTCGAAAGTGCGCGACAGTGACGCTAGGGCTTTACAAAGTGACCTGATGGTGACTGTGTGAACTTGTGGACGAGATATCTCGTGCACACCCCTGGTACGGAGCATGGATTACGAGGCTAATTCAAATACGCGCGGTTAGCGGGGGACAAGTGTTCAGACAACTGTGAGAACTTGTTCGGATGCGCGATTACCTCAAGGGCCTCATCAGCGGTTTGGTTTGCTTCTTTTTTTCTTTTTCAGTCAGTTCGGCATCCCCAATTTCGTTATCGAGCGCTGTTACCCACCAATTTGTCAGGGGTTGTTCTTTGAATACGGAATGGCTAGACAAGAGCGGCGGAAAAAGGCGAACGGCTCTTCTGTACCTGCTGAGATGTTTCCAACTTTTTCTCGACGTCTTTGTGTTTTTTGTACAAGATTTCACATAGGTCATGGTTGATTGGGTTTAAATAAACACAACATTTTTTGTCGATTTGCAGTTTTTAATTTTTCCATACTTATTAGCTCACAGCAACGCTTCTTCAATGTCTTTACGCTCAGGTGACCGTTCTCCGCCAGTTTGTCACTCCGTTCGGTACCTCGATCAATAAAAGGATCGTAGACCTTGTGCATTGGTTAACCAGTGAACAACAAGTAACAATGTATTTAACAGCTCTCAGGTAAGTGCTTCATAAAGATGATAGGTTGTTTTTTGTTCATCAAATCCAATTTCGCAGGGACTCCGTGTGGCCAGATGGACAATTAGCCGGTGAAAGTCCACCTCGATCGATCGAATCACGAGCAAGAGCCAGAATTCTGGCCAAGTCGCTCATGTTGTCGGCTCTACCGGATGAGTTACGGTTGATTTTAGGCGCTGAGACCACTTACACTGGTATCAATACTATATCAAATGCATTGCAAAATAAGCAGTTGAATCGACGACTGCTTTACGTTTTGCTTGAAAGACTACTTATCACAATTTTCCCAAATAATAGGCTGGATAAGATTTTTGCTCGTTTGCATTCG